CAATGTCAACAAACCTTAGATCTTAAACATCTCATGCCGAATATAAACATGCATTGAATACATATTCATATTTTATTTTATTTCTTAAAACAAAAGAAAGAATAGAATGCCAAAAAGCAGCAGTTCACTTCATATATCCATTTCACAGCTAGCTTGTGACTACTCATTGGGATGAACTTCCTCATTGCTCTTGTTCCTCCCCCGAAGCATATCCGTGAATCCGCCCCTCATAATCCTCCGGAATCTCGTGTCCTCAGGCAGAGGCGGTGGAATCGGTTTCGGGGCTTCACTGGCCTCTGCCTCCATTTCTCCGGCGATTTCCTTCTTCCCGAGCAGGCCGCTGTCGGTCAAGAAGCTGCTGACAGAAGAGGCGAGCCCAAGGTGGGCCCCCATGACCTTGCTGATGGTCTCGAAAGTCCCACCTGATCTCTCCTTGAGTATGATTTCGAGGGCCTCCTTGTGGGCTGGGTCGAGGGCATCTGTGTCCTTCATTAGGTTCTGGATTGCGGGAAGGAGGTAGTCTTTGATGCTGGAAACTGGAAGGTCTGCACCAATAATACACACACACACACACACTAGTTAATGAACCAATACTAGAGTCTTAACAAGGGTTGATGGATGAGATGCATAGATACAGGAGAGGGAAAAACGACGACTCAACAATATATTCCATAGTGGCGGCGGCTATTGTATTGTCCAATTATGAATCAAATCAGGCATTACCAAAGAAAAATTCATGACAGATAAATGTGTGAGAGAGAGAGAGAGTATTATTGCACTTCGAGAAAGCAATGGTGATCAGAACTCCTCTCTGAAATGCTAAATACTGCCCTTCCCCACGCAAAATAACTTACTGCCAGGAATTAGATGTCGTAAGAGAAGTTCTTCCTCAGCCAGAACAGAACCTTTTTACGTTTCAACCAACGTGTGCTCTATATGGTCAGATTTTTCTGACTAAATAAAAAACCTTACTGAAAAGCTATGATCATTGATCAGACAAGCTATTTAGTTTATAAAGATACAAGATGTGTTTTCTGTTCTAGTTGATACCATAAAGTTCATTGAAAAAACAGGCAGGTCCTTGTAATGTAAGTGGTCGATGAAAATATCAAAGATCAAGGTTGATACTTTAAGGGGGCGATTGTTTACACTTTCTACAGTAAAAAAACCAATCAAAACTCAAATTTAACTCAACTTTAACTCAACCTCACTATCTCTCATATTATCAATAAAATTAAATAATATCAACCAATCATTCTTACACATCACATCAACTTTAATTCACTATTCATCCACTCACATAATTTTAACTAACTATCCCTTCCAATCATTTTTCTCCTACTTTACATCAAATCAACTTTAATTATTTTATTTAAATATTATTTTAATATATTTACTAACAACTAACCATACCACATTTTTTCAAAAGTAACTATAGTTAAAAACAAACCAAATAAAAACTAGTTGAATTCATAAACAATCACTCCCTAAACCATCGGAGCCTCAAATATTACGAGCCAATCAGCTCAGATAAAGTCATTAACGCAAAAAACAAGGATATGAGATACTAGAGTTATGCAGGCAAGTAGACATGCTGATGAACAAGCGCATACTTGAAAATCAAGTTACCGTTCAATGAAATGCTATGACAAACTACATGGGTCTCTTTCTTTTATGTTTGAGTGTGCATTTGGCATGAGTAACTTAACTAAGAGGGCATAAGCAAGTGATACTTCAGAAGCTGACCTGTTGCATCAAGAGCACGAATTGATTCACAAAATGCATTAGCTCTTTCTCTCCGACGTCCTATATCACTAGAAGGAGGGGGCAATCCCGTAAACAGAAAAATCTTTGACAAGAGATGTGCAGTAGGTTAAAGAAAAAAAGATGCCGTTAATTATTTCATTTTATTCAAAAGAAAAATAGAATTAGCATCATTGTTGGAAAGGATTAACTGTAAACCACAACAGAAAGTCATAAGGATATAATCTCGCAGCTTATCCGTCATATGAGGCACAGCTACCAACAATGCACGAATCACAGCAACAGTAGCTTCATGTGATCCATCTTCAAGAAAAGTATCCATCTGAATTCGTATTTTGTCAACAATCTACAGGAAGAAACTTCGGCCAGTCAATCAATTCCATCTAAGATACAATGCATTTAGCCCAAAGGTAAATCTGAGAACCGAGTACCGATTTATACCATGTCATTCTTAAAGTGTTGTGCTACAGCACCAAAAGCATCAATGCTTGCATATTTTACGTTTAGGTTTTGGTCTGAACCAAGAGTCACTAGAGCTGGTAAGACATGGGATGAGGCAACCTTTGCATCAATATATGGTACCTAGCAAAAAGGGAACTCATATTTCTAAGCAGATTAACAGAGTTAGGGAAAATAACATTCGTTGATGGTACTAAATAATCATTTAGAAAAGAAAAAACTCACAATGACTTTCAGAAGTTTGGCAGCATTGACTTTCAAATTTACAGCAGTACTTGCAATCATTTCCCATAGAATGTTAAATACTATACCATGGTTTTCTTCAAAGGTACTGCAGCCCATAAAAAATATTTCATAATCAGCTAATGAAGAGCACATGATGGCCCATTAAAATAGAACTGTCTGCGGATACAAACCAAATAAAGCGAACAGAATTTATGATCTCGTGATTTGCTGACTGATTATCCTGATTAGAACTTTGAATCAGTAAATTCCTCAAGTACTCGGCCAAGAGCTCACGCTTGCTTGGGTGACCAAGTATGCCTGCCAGGAGAAGTGGTAGGACACACATTGTAGCAATCCTCTGAGCTATTGTAGATTGAGGCCTCAATCCTGTATACACAAACTATGATATTTTAAAGATAAAATAGGAGCGCGTACACACAGAAAGGAATGGACCTCTATACATGAAACTCTTGGTCAGTAGTTATAAATAAATTAAAAGAAAAAAAGGATTTATTGCCTCTAAGTCTTGACTGGGCTTTGAATGGGAAGTATTTTAAATCAGCATCATCTCCAACAGCTACTAAAAACACCGGCAACATGATGTGTGTCAAGTAAGGTTCCCCAAAACGTTCAGCCACTGCCAGCAGAAACTGCATGTGGTTGAGCAAAACTTTAAAAATGTTTAACAAACAGAAAGAAAGTAAACCACAGCTGAACAATCGCACACATTTCATGAAATTTGAAGCAACTCAAATTAATTAAGCAAGCAGACTACCTTAGATATACGGTTTCTTATATTATCCTCCTTCTGAGGCAATAAAGAGGACAACTGAATCAAAGTGGGAAAGCACTCCATGTGCAGCCACTCAAAGGCAGGCCACTCCACTTGCCCCCTGACCAATCAAAGTTAGTCTGTCAGTACCAAAGCCACAAGTTTCAAATAATACCGAAGTGGGAAGAGGAAAGACCAAGCAACATGCTTACTCCGCATAAATATTAAGCAATGATGGAGTGAATGATAGTGTTGATGAATCTGAAACTGAGGAAATTGGACAAGTCTCAACAGCTTTCCTGTGGACACATGAAAGAAGCTCGGCAAGCAGCCGCAATAATACATCAACATTCCAACGTTCTCTTTCGCCTAACGCGTGAAGATGTGACTCAATGGAACCTTCAACCCCAGAAATAGGTGGGCAACGCTGGAAAAATAATACACCAAATAAGCATGACAATATAGTCCTGATTAATGGTGAACACTATGTAGAGTAAAATACCTGAGCACACTCCAAGATATGAGAGAGAAGAACTTGTAACATATGATCTAACTTATCTCCCCAATTTATTAGAGCAGGCACTAAATCCTTGATAGTAGTCTCGACAACAACTCCCGAGGGATCACAAACCAATTGAAACATCATATCCTCAACCTAACAAAAGCAAAAAAAAATATTGGAGAAATCTTTTTATCCCTGTTCTTTTTCCTACCTATCCATAGTAATGCATCATATTATGACCATGGGAAATGCTCCATTTCTAGATCACGGAGCTTACATTTTAGGCAACTGCCAAGTCAGATATCTTCTCCATGATTGCCTCGAAGCAGATTTAGTGAGGCTGACCTTGAAATATTTGTCCGTGTTTGGGAAGAGTGCCAGCAACAAAGCCAGATTATGAGCAGCAGACTCCCTCACGACTGTAGCAGAGTCCTCAATAAGCTGTTGCACAATGGACAAGATAAGGGAATCGCGTATCTCTGGCCGCACAAATTCTGCAAGCTCACCGCATGACTGAGCAACAAGAAGCCTACGTTCCTCATACATGTGATTAATCTACAAAAGAAAATAAAGTTGACACTCAGATATTTCTTATTACTCTCTCCTTTTTCTGGTGTGTCCGTGTGTATGTTATGCCAGCTCCTTAAACAAAAGAAATGCACAGCTACAAATCTTAGGATGGTTCATACTTGTTCCCAACACTGGGGAAGCAATTCTGTTTCTGTTCTCAACTCTCCAACATTATTTGCAAGAGTAACACAAGCCTGAAATGACAAGCACATTCATGAGTATTAAGGTCAAAGTTCAAGGTTTAGTGATTGGCAACGCTGTTCCGAATCTTACATCCATTATGATTTGTCTCTGCTGCTCATCGGGACGCTTTATTAAGTTAAATAACGTATGGGTCAGGGAATCACGAGTGGCACAGTCTGGATGGCGCTCAATTGCACACATAATCAGAGGAAGCAGCTCCTGCAAGGGATGACCTTCAATAAATTCAAGACAAGAGGTACATGTCTTGCAGTAATAAATTCCAGTCCTAATAGACCTTTAGAAATGCATAAAACCAAAATAGATTGCCAAACCTCTCGATGGTTGATTAGAACGTAAGGTACAATTTTAGGCAAAGCATTTGAAAGTATCTCAATAGTTCCCAAACCCTGACACATAAAAATAAGTTCTGGATGTCAGCTTGATGTAAACTATTATATCTACCATCTGGTTAGCATGTCCTGAAGAAGAACAAGGATGTACCGTTTTGTCAGCAGTTGAATCAGCATCAAGGTTGTCCGGCTTGGCAAGTAAACTATCAGTGTTTGAAGAAAGTGTTCCATTTTCCTTGCAAATATTTTCCCCGTCTCCATGAAATCCACTTTCACCTGAAGTAGTAGGTAATTCTTTTGACATTTTCTCAGATCTGGCATTGCTGTCATCAGAATGCTGTTTCTCCATCATCTCAGTATCCACAATCATTAAATCAGCCAATGAACCAACTCTAGAAGATTCATTAATATTTACTTGTGGATCTTCAGCTTTGTCTAATTCCCCATCATTCCCTTCCTCTCTTACCATTGCGTCAACAGGGTCCATACTCAAAGGTGTTTTGGCTTTCAACATTTCTACTTCACTCTCAAAAATTTCATTATTCTCATCCTGGCCCTGTGGTACTGGTTGGATGAGTTCAGAGCCTGTGGCTAAAACATATTTACCAGATTGATATCCTTCGATATGCATTTTTAGTGCAGTTATTTCAGCTCTACAATCATTTAGTTCCATTCTTTGGCTTTCCAAAGTCTTCTTCAAACCATGGACCTGGTAGACATAATTGCCAATAAATTCATGGATAAATAGAACCAATACAGATATAACATTAATTAGGTAAAAGAGAATTACTAAATTTTCTTTGTCCTTGATATCTTTCTGTAGCGATTCCAACGATTTGGTCAATACCATGACTTGTGCATCTGACATCTCTTTGTTTCGTACTAAGGACTTCAGCCTGTCATTCTCTTTCTGCAATGCTATTTTCTCCTGCAGTATACAAGAAATTATCAGTACCAGATACTCAGCGGTATGAAATTAACTGATATTTTAGAAAAATATCACATACAGGTGATATCCTCCAAAATAAAACGTAAAAAATCTAGGAAAAGATTCAATTATCAACCAATTCCTCAGGAAATTTGTGAAGAATACATCAAATAAAAGTGTCCATGGAAGTGCTGGTATTTCATCAAGTTGTTCAAACAATCAAATATACGTGAAACCAGGGGCGGATCCGGAATTATTTTTTTTTTTGGGGGGGGGGGGGTATTTTTTAATAATCATAAATTTAATTTAATGTATATAAAAAATAGAAAGTTGTATTATAAAATTATACATAATAATGGTGTGATATAAATTATAAAGTTTCAAACCTTGACATTAACAAATTTACATCGAACGCTTTCTCAACTCATGAATTTCATTAATGATTGACTCCATACTAATAGTTTGATATTTTTTTCTTTCCAAGCATATCTTATATGGTCTTCTTTTTCAAAAATTACCAATTTTTATTTTTTCACATATTTCATACAGCGTTGCGTTCACACTTGAATTGATCAATTACGGCACCGTCCCTAGTGTGAACGCGTCGATGTATGTTCAGTACCATACATCAACGCGTTCACACTAGGGACGGTACCGTAATTAACCAATTCAAGTGTGAACGCGACGCTGTATGTTCAGTACTTCGTCCTGCTTGAATTGGACCAATTCAAGTGTGAACGCAGCAACGCTGTATGTTCAGTACCTGGTTATAAAGATGATTCAAGCAGGACGAGGTACTGAACATACAGCGTTGCGTTCACACTTTAATTCAATTAATTACGGTACCGTCCCTAGTGTGAACGCTCAAGCAGGACGAGGTACTGAACATACAGCGTTGCGTTCACACTTTAATTCAATTAATTGCGGTACTGTCCCTAGTGTGAACGCGATGATGTATGTTCTAACCTCGTCCTGCTTGAATTGGTTCAGGTAGGACGAGGTACTGAACATACAGCGTTGCGTTCACACTTGAATTCAATTAATTACGGTACCGTCCCTAGTGTGAACGCGATGATTCAAGCAGGACGAGGTTAGAACATACATCATCGCGTTCACACTAGGGACGGTACCGTAATTGAGTGAAACTGTCTAACAAAATTTAACCCTTCAACCAGCAGCTTGGTTTAAAAAATAATGGTTTTATAGTATCCACTATAAGTGTCAATCCTTTAAAAGTACTGCATAACTGGAAAAGCCACTAGTCCAGGGTAATAATAATCAGTGTAAAGCTTAATAACAAATTATCAAATCATCATGATAAAATTTTAGGCTTTCAAGAGTTTGAAATGCTACTCATATTCCAGAACCATTAGTTGGTTGGGGATTTCCTTAACACAATACTCTGAGGAGACAAATGGCAGTGACTTTATAAGCAAAGATGACATCTTATTCATTTTGTTGGAATACAATAAGGGAGTCAAGCCGCAAACCAATAGAAGAAACCTAAGAAGAAAACTAAAAAGGGGAATGAAAATCTAATGTACAATCAGGGAATTTAAATGCTAATCATCTCAACATAAGCAGAAAACAGAACAAACGTTTCCAAGAACATTCAAGATTTACCTCTGCACCCTCTGCGGTTGAAGAAAGATACTCATAATAGTAATGCCGCAGCGCATCAGGTACACATGCAGATGAGTTTTGCCATACATCCAAGTTCTGGTCAGTGACCTATTGTTCAGGTAAAATAATGTTGTTACTAAGTAAATGTGTGTACTCATGCATTTGTACTTCATACAACAGGTACATACAGAGACAAAAGATTTTGAGTCAAAGTGACAATCTTTCTAAACCCAATTCTAGCCTGAAACATGAAATACTAACAAGACCATTTTAGTGGAGCCACACTCATCATCTCAATGATAGCAAGGAGTGGAAACAACATAAGACATAACCCCATCTGCTTAAGAAGAAAAGTTCTGCCAGACAACCAACTAGAATTATTTCTTCATCTACTCTTTGGATTTGAAACCATCAAAGAAAATAGCAAAAGAAAGAGAAAGGAAAACTGAAAACCAGTAACCTGAGAAACTAAATCTACTGAACTTCATCCTTCAACACAAAGTGGACTTTGAGTGAGATGTGACCAGTTCATAAACGATAATGATAAATATATACGAGTTCTAGCTAGAAAATGACTCATTCTTCAAGTTATAACAAGCAACAGGGGAAAACAGGAGTTGGAATGTACCTCCACAGCAGACTTTAGAGACATAACAAGCACAAAAGACCGATCATAAGAAAAAGGAGTCTACGGTTGAAGTACCTCTTCATAAAATGTCATTGCAGTTAAACGGTATCCAGCTAATAGTAAATATTCCTTCACTGCGCAGTTTAAATCCAATCGCTCATTGTCCTTCAGAGGACCGAAATCTAAGAAAGACTCGTCCCTCTTTACTTGTTCGACAATTTGTCTGTTATCTTTAGTACTATTAGCACTTCTTCCTGAGAGTGCAACAAATTGATAAAGTCATGACATCAGCAAGATCAACACCACTTTTCAGGAACTGTTGACAAAATATACACTGGTAAGATGGAATAAATGCAGTTACACGAAATTACCATTTGATTCATCCAAGTTGGTCTCAGTTTTCTTCAGTAATTCAGCCTTGATGTTATGAATATCCTCTTGTGCAAGACGAAGCTCATATTCACGGACAGCCAACTTTTCTTCCAGCGATTCTTTTTCTTCGAATAGACTTTGGGGGTCTGCCACTGTTCCATAACAAATATGAAATCCAAACTATCAATGCTAAGATAAGTAATTATAATTATAAATGAGTTTCAATATTGGCTTTATAGTTTGATCTCAGCTGTTATGATCTGTTTTGGCAACATAAATTGATTACTGGAGAAATTTTTACAAGCTGTGGCAGCATTATATTCATATATTTTTTTATCCATTATTTGATAATCGTGTCTCGTGTTAAAATATGTTAAAAGGCTTTGGTTTAACTCTTGCTGGGGTGTACTAATTAAAATCTCATTGCGACCAAAAACATAAGCTTTCAGAAATTCTATTTGGTTTATTCATAACAAACCCAGCCTCAAAGAAAAGGAATTCTAATAAATTTACTCAATATGTACTCCTTTTCATATGATTTATTATTAAGAAAAAACTACAAAATCAGACCAATTATATAGGTCCCTTGGTTGTTCTATTCCCTCTTTAAGTTCCCTACAAGAAGAATCCAGGCAACTCACAATATGGGAAATGTTTGTGGTCCATCATAATGAAACAAGGATTAGAACTACATGGAAGCTACTGAATGCCCCCATACCAAAAAGACTGGTTCTAAGGTGTGTGCTAATGGGTTCTAGATAATGTTACTAGTATGATGTATACGATAAAACTATATCGGAGAGATATACGGTGATTCGCCCGACGATGCTATACGGTGCTGAATGTTGGCCTACAAAAAGGTCACATGTCCAACAACTAAGTGTAGCGGAGATGCGTATGCTGCGTTGGTTCTGCGGCACACAAGAAGGGATAGAATCCGGAATGTGATATTCGAGATAGGGTCGGGGTAGCTCCAATTGAGGAGAAATTGGTTCAACATCGATTGAGGTGGTTCAGACATGTCCAACGGAGGCCTCCTGATGCACCGGTTCGTAGTGAGTTCTACAGCGGGTCGATGATGGAAAGAGAGGTAGAGGTCGGCCTAAACTCAGTTGGGAAGAGTCGGTTAAGAGAGACCTTAAAGATTAGAATATCTCCAAGAATTTAGCGGTGGATAGGAGCGCTTGGAGGCTAGCAATCAACGTGCCACTTTGGCTCCTTTCTCTTTTGCTCCAATCTCTTCCTTTTGTTTTGAGCCCTTTTTGTGTTTCTCTTACCATTGGTTCTCTTGGGTTTCATCTCTAGCCTACCCCAACTTGCTTGGGACTAAAAGGCTATGTTGTTGTTGTTGTTGTTGTTGTTGTTGTATGATGTATACGATAAAAGCCTCTGACTATATATATACCCACGGAGTGTAACTGCTCTCAGAGACTAACTAGAAGACAAATGATAAGCAATGGAAGCACACACACACATATATATATGTATGTGTGTGTGTGTGTGTGTGATCAAGATGCATTCCTAGCTTATTGTTCATGTTTCGATCAGAAAATGCTAAATGTGATCAGTCAACAACTTGACAAAAATACTCCGTCCATATTTTGTCTCTAGAAATATAAAAGAATAGTTCCTTTCAGTGGTTGCAGTTTATTTGTCCATACATATATACTTCCTTCAAGGATATGCCAGATTACATAGAGGGGCCATCTAGAGATAAGAGTCTTTCGCAATTATCACACTATTTGGACAATCTCTACAGATATCCAAAAATGGAAAGCAAATTCTATATCAGCAGAAGCTGAAGTAACTGCAAGGCATCTTCATTTAAGAAACAGAGTAATAATAAAGAGATTAAATTTTCATTTATAGGCATTCCATCACCTCCTTGAAGTTGTGACCTGATCAAATCAAACATTTAAGTTAAATAGACTTCTATCCCATTTCCAGAGCATGTAAATGAATCTTTATGTATGAACTCACAACTTTGAGCATGTTATCTAGGAGCTGTCCCCCCACCTTTGAGCATGTTATCCAAAAGAAGAAACCCAATAAAATACATAAAACAAAAGATTAAACAATCGTGGCCACACAAGTAAACTGCGCGCGTGTGCGGACATGTATATGCACACATGGTAGAGCGAACCTCGAAGAGAGTTAAAGCGTGAGATCTGATCGGGGGGAAACTGAGCCGGATCGGAGAAGAACTGCTTGAGGCGAATCGCCTGGTCGTCGCGGCCGTCGTCGAGGAGCTCATGGAGAAGCTCGAACGCCGACAGCAGGTAATTCTCTTCGAGCAGAAAATTAACCACGCAATTGCACAGTGACGATCTCTCCACGTCCATTGTTGAATTCTCGACAGTCGACGCCTTTTGTGGCTGCGGCGAATCACGGCATTGTTTTCTGGTGCTGAACTTTGTTTGAGATCTGCGTGGAAATTTAGGCTGAGAAATTCAGATTTATTTATTAATTAATCATTTACTTGTTTTATTATTTTATTTATTTATTTGTGTGAAAAATGGGGAAAGGTATGTTAGATGATATATATATATGAAACTGAGAGGAGCGATCAGGTGCTCCACTAGTCAGGTAGAAGAAATAGACGATGATGTTTGTACAAAAATTTTCACTTAAAATTTCATGTAACTTAAAATCTAATTAAATTTTAACACACCTTCAATATTCTCAATATTATCAATATAATTAAATAATACAATTCAATCATTCTTGTATATCACATATCACATATATTTTAATTCACTATTCATCCATTCACATAATTTTAACTAACCATCACTTCATATTATCTCTCTCATACTTTTACAACAAATCAACTTTAATTATTTTATATAAAATATTATTTTAATATAAATCCAAAATACCACTAACAAATAACCATATCATATTTTTCCAAATTAACTTTAGTTAACCAATAAAATTTACTTTGAGTGAAAATTTACTTTAATCAATTTTGATCGATTGAGTTATTTTGTGTTTAATCTTTTAACTCAAAATTTAACTTAACTCAACTTTCTGTAATATTATTAATATAATTAAATAATATCAATTAATCATCCTCTCACATGTCACATCAATTTTAATTCACTATTCATCTACTTACATAATTTTAATCACATATCACTTTCAATAAGTTCTCTCATACTTTTACATCACATCAACTTTAATCACTACATTTGAAATACTATTTAATTACAAAATCAAAATCATCAACTCATTTAACTTTATTCAAAATAACTCACTTTAACCAAACAAATCTAACAAAAACTGGTTGAATTCATATCCAATCACGTCATTAGTATCTGAAACTGCATTGTCAGTCCAAGCTTCTCTAGTCCATGCTCCGCGATGGGTCCAGAAGGGTGGTCCCGCAATCTGGGCCGAGTTGCCCACCCCGATCTGACCCTTCTCCCTAGTGCTCTCATGCTGACAAATTCATAGAAATTGTGGCTCTGAGTCGTGAATGTCTCGACACTGGAGCGCCACTTTGAGGATAAGGTTTATAAATTTGATTGTAGTTTTTAATTGAATACAATAAAAGTCCTGACCTCAGGTTATGTCTCTCGAGAAGAATTGTTAGTGATTGGATTAAAGCAATGAGTGATCACAAAAATAAAAAATAAAATTCTAAACATTAATTGCAATTTGGTTGATTGTGCTAAACTAAATCGAGCGCAAGTAAGCTTGAACGAAAGCCAGAGGATCACTAGATCGCAAATAAAAGAAAAATAAAAAGAAGAACTAAGTACTCAAGACTAAAGATGAAAGATGATACTTAGAGGGTCGAAAACATACAATAAAAAATAATAAAACACTCAGGAAGAATCAATCGGCTTCATACTAACTTATGCTAACGCATTAAGCATCGTTGATCACCCAATTCACTGTTGTGCACGTCATCATTGTGCATCGCCCTCCAGCCGTCATCGGGTGGAGCCAGCATTGCGCCAGCGTGCAGTCGTCTCTGCGTGCCCGTCGGCGGGCATCGACGAATAAATCGCGCACCGGTTGCACCGCGATAGCCCGCAGACGCTGCGCACGCTGCACAGGGCACAGTCGAGCCACGCCGCAGGCCGATCATGGGACGCGCGTAGCTCTACGCCTGCGACAAGGTCGAGCACTGCCCGCCCTTGCTTGAGATTCTCGCGCGACGCTCGGCTGCATGCGCCTGTTCACCATTCACCCGCGCCATGCCAACAGTTGTTGATGGGTGCCTGCACGTGTTGCCAAGCGTGCTCACGTGATCAGGGCGCACCAGCAGCAAGCTGACAACACCAAGTGCACGACGCACGACTTCAGCATGCCATCCTTGGCCTGCGGCGATGGCCGAGCCGCCATGTTGAGGCGGCCCGATTGTCATGTCCGCCGTCTGAGGTTTGACTGTGCTCGCCAAGTCTGTCGAAAAATGATAAAATGGAATTTTACAATTTCGATCCTATGACCACGGAGGGTCGTACATGGTTGATATAATAAAGCAATAAACTATACGGTGTTCCATTGTGCGTTTAAAATTATTACAAAAATCATCAACCCATTACTCGACATGTAAAAACATGCATAAATTAAATTGCATACATACTGGCCATAATAGTTGGATCGTATAAACCTGCAACAGATGCATATATGTACCAAATATGTGTCGTGCCCTATACGCACATAATTCACGCACGACTAAATCAATTATTGAACAATAAACCGAATTAAGCCTAGGTTTGATACCACTTGTTGGGTTCAGCGAAGAACGTCGGTTATTGTTCTAACAATCGAATGCTTAATAAATTAATCGTAAGCACAGCAGAACACTAAAGTTTAGAATCAAGATCTTACGGTTTCACAAAAGTCGACTCTGTACATACTTACATGGGCTAAGGCCTATACGAATGGTTCTGAGATGATCTTCAACCGTGTTTTGCCCGCCTTGTACGTGCGTCTTCTGTTCACCGAGTCGCTGTCCTCATCGTCACCAGGTCGCTGTCCGCGGTCGTCGCATGCTTTGTTAGGTGTCGCGTGGAGCTTCCGATTGCATGTCCATGTGGCTAGGCTACGGCTGCCGGTCACGCATCGGCTGCGGCTGATGAGCGTCGCAGGGCTGTGCCGCGAGTGGTACGCGGATCGCGGGTGTTCGAATTTGGTCGCCGGTGATCGCCCACCACTTTCGGTCTTCTGTTGTATTCCTTGCTTCGGTCAGACGTTGTGTAGGTGATGATATACCGAACACGTGTGGCTTGGAACTCTCTCTCTCTCTCTCTCTCTCTCTCTCTCTCTCTCCTCTTCTCACGATTTATGCATGTGAAATTATAATGGGATTCTTAGATATTGAGTTCCTCACATGGCTTATATATAGGCTGCAACAAGAACCTAAGAAGGCTAGGGTTAGGATTCCCAATGACCAAGAAAATACTTGAGTTGTGGTACACCTTATTTAGTGGGTCATTAATAATAAATAATTCCACTAAATATTTATTATTGCACTTACTTCCCTTAACCCCAATTATATTGGCTTCACTATCCTCGATTTATCTTCCCGTGCAAAAGATATAACATCCGTTAATATAACTTCCCTTCGCCGGTGATCGCGTAACACTATATAGTGAATGTTTTAGCTCTTGGAATGGCCAATCTCATTGGGGGGCTTTTCACCCGTCAAAATATAAATTTCAATATAATACTTATTAACCTTTCTATGATTTGTGTCATTAAGAATCTTCATGAAGGAGACTAAAAAATACTTATTACACAACAACTATTGGTAAGTATAATAAATGTGATAATTGCATGCAAAACTATTTGTATGATCGGCCCTACTTTTTTCTTTTCTCTAATCTCTATCAACATTT